GGAAAACTGGAAGCAACATGTGGAGGAATGAAACTGGACCACTTTCTTACACCAAACACAAAAATAAACTCAAAATGGATTAAAGACCTAAATATAAGACCATAAAAATCCTAAAAGAGAGCACAGGCAGTAATTTCTCTGACATCAGCTGTAACACATTTTTCTAGGTTTGTCTCCTGAGGCAATGGAAACTAAAGCAAAATAAAGTATTGGGACTACATCAAAATTAAAAGCTTTTGCACAGTGAAAGAAACAACTGACAACACTAAAAGACAACCTACGGAATGGGAGAAGATATTTGTATATGACATATCCAATAAAGGGTTAGTATCCAAAATACACAAAGAACTGATACAACTCAACACCCCAAATCAAATAATCCAATTAAAAAATGGACAGAGCACCTGAATAGACATTTTTCCAAAGACGACATATAGAAAGCCAACAGACACCTGAAAAGATGCTCAACATCACTCATCATTGGGGAAATGTAAATTAAAAGTACAATGAGATATCAACTCATAACTGTCAGAATGGCTATAATCAAAAACACAAGAAACAAGTGTTGGCTATGATGTGAAGAAAAAAGAACCCTGGGGAACTGTTGGTGGGAATGGTGCAGCCCCTCTGGAAAACAGTATGGAAGTTCCTCAAAAAGTTAAAAATAGAACTACCCTGTAATCCAGTAATTGCATTACTGGTATTTATCCAAGAAAATAAGAACACTAATTCAAAGGGGTACATGCACCCCTATGTTTATTGCAGCATTATTTACAATAGCCAAACTATAGTAACAGCCCAAGTGTCTATCAATAGATGAATGGAAAATAAGTGATATGCATATACAATGGAATATTATTCAGCCATAAAGAAGAATGAAATCCTGCCATTTGCAAAGACATGGATGGAGCTAGGGAATATAATGTTAAGCAAAATAAGTCAGTCAGAGAAAGACAAATACTGTGTGATTTCACTTATATGTGGAATTTAAGAAACAAAACAAATGAACAAAGAGAAAAAAAGAGAGAGACAAACCAAACCCAGACTCTAATAGAGAACAAACTGATGGTCACCGGACGGGAGGTGGGTGGTGGGATGGGTGAAATAGGTGATGGGGATTAAGAGTACTTAAGAGTACACTTATCATGATGAGCACTGAATAATGTATAGAATTGTTGAATCATTATATTTTACACTTGAACCTGATATAACTGTGTATCAGCTATACTGGAATTAAAATTTAAAAACTTAAAAAAAATAAATGAAAAAAACCCACAAAAAACAGCTGCTTCTCTAAGGTCCTTTGCACCACATTCCCATCTACTTCTCATCTCACGCTGTGTTCTCAACCCCAGTAAATGTCTAGAACCCTCAATTCTTGTTTTTTTGCCAGATGTTTTTCTGGAACACCAAACCTGTAGGGAGGATGTGCATGGGGGCCTGTTGGTTGTAAAGCAGACAAGTAGGAAAGAGGTGTGTTTCTTAACTGCTCTTCTCCTTTGCTGGTCGAATAAAATGTCCTTGTGTCTGTTTTTTCCTATAGGAAGCAGACACGAGTAAAGAAGGGGGCAGTACCATAATTACTGAGGACAGGAGATGTACTTTTCTATCTCTAGGACTTTGCACACGAGAGAGAGAAGCCCTCTCTGAGGACAGGGAGGCTTGTCTCCTATTCACTTCCATCATCTCCAGAGCGCCTGAAAAGTGCCTTTTAGGACAGATGCTAAAGATTTTGTTAATGAACAAATGACAGAGATTGGTCCAAACAGAGCATCAGTCCTGACAAAGAAAAATTCATAAATACAATTAGCAGGAGATTGAATGAAGAAACTGTGCTGGAAATTCCCAGGAAGGGCTTAGCTGGTGTGAATATATCCTTGAGCCAAAATGCTTTGCTTATTTATACTTCCTGTTATTCCTGCTGGAAAAATTCTTCTTCCAGATGTTTTTCTATTTTGCCTCTTCACTTCATTTAGGTCTCTGTTCCATTGCCGTATGCACAGAGAGTCCTTCTCTGACTATCCATTTAAACTGCTGATGCAAAATTGCAAGCATATATAAAAGTAAACAGAATAGTCAAATGAATTTTTATGTACCCAGTCACCTAGCTCCAACAATGACTATGTTTTACCTGTTTTTAAAAGCACTCATCACTATATATCATTACATATCTTTTTATATCTTTCTTTATGGGCTAGTTCCTCTTCCACTAGAATCAAAGAACCAAGAGGCCAGGGACTTTTTCTATCTTGTTCATCTCTGTTTCTGTGACGCTTTGCACACTGTCTAGCACACTGCAGGTGCACAAAAGCATTTGTTCAATGAGTGAATGACTAATTAAGAGAAGATTGAACTCGGTGTAGTGGGTTCTAAAATAGTTGTAGAGATTTGTAATGATCTGTTTTTGAAGTTGGCAGTATTTATTTTTAAGCCCAAATTTCTTACTTAATGTTTATATTCTAGATTTGCTTACATGGTGAGAAGTGGTAGAATCAATTCACACATGTTGTTTTTGAGCCACTGCTATTTTGAGATTTCTATCAAGAATCTAATGTACTGATCATTAATTTTCAAATATCTTCTGGTGGCTTTGTTTTCAGGTTGTTGTTTTTCTGTTCAGCGAAAGTATCTTTATGAAAGCATTGGACGTCAGACAAGTATAAAGAATCGTATTCTAAATCTGCTCTTTAAATACATGTTAAAATCATCTGCCAATTTTATCGCTGATGTTTTTATTTTTATTTTTTTTAAGATTTTATTTATTAATTTGAGAGAGAGAATGAGAGAGAGAGAGCACATGAGAGGGGGGAGGGGCAGAGGGAGAAGCAGACTCCCCGCCGAGCAGGGAGCCCGATGCGGGACTCGATCCCGGGACTCCAGGATCATGACCTGAGCCGAAGGCAGTCGCCCAACCAACTGAGCCACCCAGGCACCCTATCGCTGATGTTTTTAAAGAAGATTTATCTGATCTTTCAAAAGATCAAAGTATTGTAGTCCTTCTTTCATCCTCCAACCCATGTAATGTGATTTTCATGTGAAGATGCAAAAACTCCAGGAAAGTCATTTTTGATGTCCTGGTATCAATTTTATCTTTGAGTCCAAAATAGTATCACAGAAATCGTTGGTACACAGTGCATGTTTGTTGAGTGAATAATCTGTAAAATGTGAAGGAGATGGATATAATAAGAATTAGGCATATTGTGTGTATATGATCTATCAGTATTTTCTGAATTTCAGCTGTGCTTAGAACACTACCTTTAGCATTCAAATTTTGGTTATTGTTCCTTGAGGTACAGTAAGTAGCTTTTTTATAAGCTATAGTATTTTTTAAAATCAGTACTCTTGCAAATTCCTTTAAGGAATTTAAATATAAACTGTACATGTGGTAGTCGTGCTGGTCTGAGGTCTGCTGCAGTAACTAGTGAACCTTGAAATATCCTGAAAATGTGATAAGGCACAAAACAGAATTTCTTTCTTATTCATGAAGTGACTTCTGTGGGTCCAGTGGATCCAGAACAGCTCCCTTCAAGTAATTAAGTCAGGGATTCGGTTGGCTTTTGTCTTCTGGTGCAACTCATGGCTTTTAGTTTTCATGGAAGGGACAGAGCTTTTCCCTGCCTTATTCCGGAAGTAGCAAGTATTGCCTCTACTCACAGCCCAGTGGTCAGAATTAGACATATGGCTCAATATAATCACAAAAATTCCAAGAAGTATTGTCTAAGTGCCCAGGAGGAAAGGAAACCAAATATTGGCAATGACTAATGGGATTACAACTTAGACCGCGTGCCACGCAGCTCAGAGGTCAAAAGACTGTCCATTCATTCATTTAACGTTTAACCAGTAAGATCACAGATGCCTAATAGTAAGTGATCTAGTTGCAGTCGCTTCTCACAGTGAAAGACATTATATTGTAAGGCTGACGACATAAATGTACTTTTGGGGACAGTTGCTATATTTTAGCAAAGTTATTTTTTTGATAATAGAAAAAAGAGCATTAAAATGGCAATACCTTTATGATATCTTTCACATTAAGAAACCTGGAACTAGGTCATCTAGAGAGGCTATCTTAATTCTACAACCATTAAGGTAAATATGAAGTCCATCAGGTCAACATTTTAGGTATCCGGAAGAAGGAAACAAAAGGAGGGATAAAGAGGTACAACTTTGAGCTGAGGCAGCTTTCTGCAGGAAGCCTTCCAGTTTTTCCAATTGCACTGTCACTTACATGACATTAACCAGAACGGAATCACACAGTCAAAATAAATACAGCAGAGTGTGGGCGTTGTAGTGTTTTGGCTGGGCACTTTGCTTCCCTGAATAAATTAATGTTTTGTTATTAAGAAAGAATGGAGGGAAAATATCGAGTGAACAATTAGCAAGTTCTGTTGTAGTTAAGAAGGATTTCTCTCTCTCTCTCTCTCTCTCTCTCACACACACACACACACACACACACACACTAGAATATACAATCCCAAGTAAGTAGAGATTCCTTTGAGATTGTTCTCCTGTTGTTTCTATACTAATAAACCTCACTAGAGCAAGAGGGAAACAGTTTCTTTTTTTTTCTCCTATTACTTTTCTGTTCACAGAGTAAATGTTTCAGTAAATATTTCTGCTACTGACTTTGCCATTAAATAGAACCTTATTTATTGAATTTAGATGCAGTAAAGCAATTGATATTTTAATTTAGTCAAATACAGTAATATAATATGATCAGAGCTTTAACTTGTCCTTAGCCTATATGGTCCTATATACCCCTCTATACTTTTAATTAACGTTTGCCTCATAAAGGGAAGGCTTAGAAACAGATGTACCTGTTTTAATATTGAGACTTCATATACAGCATTTCTTGTTCCTTTCGGTTTATTAGTATGAGAATAATGAAAGAAGGCCTGAGCCATACAAAGCCTGGAATCTGGATTCAGCATGTTTGCTACCTATTACAGAGAATTAATTTAACTTATTTTCATTTGCCCCACCTTTGTTTGCCTTCTCCACAGGCTATATATTGATGGTCCATTTGGAAGTCCATTTGAGGAATCGCTGAACTACGAGGCTAGCCTCTGTGTGGCTGGAGGCATTGGAGTAACTCCATTTGCATCAATACTCAACACCCTGCTGTATGTTATTTTGATCCGTTTTATTAGTTCAAATAGAGAACTATCAGTATTTCAAACATCTCTCTCTTAGTATGAGGTAATCCCTCATAGAATTTGTCTACAGTAAGCCCCCTCTTATATAGAGGGAATACGTTCCAAGATCGCCAGTGAATGCCTGAAATTGCAGATAGTACTGAACCCTACATACATTATGTTTTTTCCAATAAATACATGCCTGTGATAAAGTTTAACTAATAAGTTAAGCACAAGAAGAGATTAACAATAATAACTAATATTAAAATAGAACAATTACAATACTATACTGTGATGAAAGTTATGTGAGTGTGGTGTCTCTTTCTCTCCCTCAAAATATCTTATTGTTATATACTCACCCTTCTTCTTGTGATGAGGTGAGATGGTAAAATGCCTATGTGATGAGATGAAGTGAGGGGAATGATGTAAATATTATGCTGCTATTGACCTTCCAACAATATGTCAGATGGAGAATCATCTGCCTCCGTGGATGACCGCGGATAACTAAAAACCACAGAAAGTGAAGCCACAGATAAGGAGGGACTACTGTACTTGTTGTTCATAGAACTCCATTTACTGATTGATGAGGGTAATAATTCAATGATTCTCAGTATGTGGTCCATGGTTTTCAGCACACTGTCTTGTAAAGTATCACCATAGGCATTCCTCTGTCCTTTTTTTTTTTAATTTTTAAATTTTTTTATTATGTTAATCACCATACATTACATCATTAGTTTTTGATGTAGTGTTCCATGATTCATTGTTTGCATAAAACGTACTGCATGGAGCACTGGGTGTTATCCTCTGTCCTTTTAAAGCCATTCCACCAGCCTTCATTTCTGTACTTCCTCCTAAATGGTAAGTGGCAACCCTCATCCATTCTATCAGTAATTATCTTTGAGTACCTGTGTGCCAATCCATCCTATAGGGACTAGTAAATACAGCAATGAATGAAACAGTCCCTGCCCTTAAAAAGCTTATATTCAAATGGAACAGGTAAAATAGAAACCAGTGAGAAATTCATAAGTAACATTATTTCAGAAAATATTAGAACTCTGATAAAAAGAAGAGAGATTAATGGGATATGGAAATAAAGGGCTGGGGTCATTGTAGACGTATGGTCAGGAAAAGCTTTGCTAGGGAGATGACAAATGAGCCCATGATTCCTTGGTCTGTTACTCAGCAAATTTATAACAGACTGAAGAATAGAAATTTCAAATGTAAGATTGCTCATGTAGGAAAGACTTTTTCAGTTATTTTTGTTCTAGGATGATAAGCAAAAATTAATGGATTAATATTATGAAAACACAAACAAAAAAACAGTAGGAAATTATTCTCCAATCTATTCCGTTCACTTTTCAAGTAGACACAATTTGCTTTAAGAGTCTTTTATAAAGTACTAAAGAAGGAAATAATAAAGTTTAAATGATGTGTTTGAATGATATTTTATTTCAATTTTAAATACTTGTTACAAATTTGGGAATTTTTGGAGGTTCTTAGAAAAATAACCATATTCCAAGCCAGAAATCATTTGTTTCTGAAAACATACTGCAAGTTATTTGGACACTTAAAGTTAAGAAAAGGAGAAAATATTTTCTTAGCCTCAAGCCAACTTCATAATTATAAATAGGAATCCAGACTTGGAATTACGAGGCCCTGGAACGCATTACATAGTAGGTGACTGTTACATCTCTTTCTTTAATGATTTTTAAAAGGGGATAAACAACGAGCTTTCTGGAATGGTTTTGGCTCATTTTGCCTGGAGGCCAGGGCATGGCTAATAACCACTGGAGCCCTGCTGAGTGATAAAATTCACTGAAAATAGAGAACTTTTTTTCTGAGACATGGGACTCATATTCTCATTCAGGAGTTTAGTTTATTGCCTTCATCTGAAAATGGGTGATATGCATATAATATTCACAAGCATAAACACTTAAACTCATGGAGTATATCATGCCTCTGAGCCCGTATATTACATTTTAAATTCATTTGAGAGTCATGGTAAGTGCAATGACAAATGATAAAAAATGATAAATTGATACATGTAAGTGACTGGTTTTTCATTAGTAAACGAAAAGCAGATTTTCAAAGATACAGGGATTCTTTTTTTTTTTTTATTTTTTTTTGCCATCCTAATCACTATCATGTTCTTTAATTTTAAAGGGATGACTGGAAACCATACAAGCTTAGAAGATTATATTTTATTTGGGTGTGCAGAGACATCCAATCCTTCCGTTGGTTTGCAGACTTACTCTGTGTGTTACATAACAAGGTAAAATTAGGTTTGCTTTTACTTGTGCAATGTTTTTAAATAAAAAACTTTTTTTTTCAAATTACAAAAGCAATAAATGCTCACTGTAGAATAAGCCAGAAAATAATGCAGATAAGTTGAAAGAAGGAAAAAAATCTCTTAAACTTCAAATAACAGAAGTAGCATATTAATAATTTAGTACACATATTTTCAGGTATTGATAACTGACAGTATGTGTTTATATCTATGATATGTTTTAACATAAAAATGCTACTATTGTTTTAACATAGGAATGTAGGCATATGGCCGATGGTGTATGCATATGGGGTGGGAGGGAAGACAGCGTAACATCAGCTGATGGTAGCTACTACACTTTCCATCCTTTGTTCTGTTAGCTCTGACCTCTTATTTCCACCTTTAATATTCCAAATGGACAATCACTAGACTTTTGGCACACTAGGCAGAATTTCAAAACCAAAATTCTAAGTTTTATTTCTTATAGAGATTAAAAAAAAAACAGACCTTCTTCATCTATCCTACACATAACCTTTTATCTATATATTAATATATGTATCTTTATTTTTCAAATTATATAAGTGATACACATGCATTTTGCTGCAATTTTTTTCCTTTTCCTTTTTTTAAAGATTTTATTTATTTATTCATGAGAGATGGGGGGCAGTGCAGAAGGAGAAGTAGACCCCCACTGAGCAGGGAGCCCGACGCAGGACTTGATCCCAGGACCCCAGGATCACGACCAGAGCTGAAGGCAAACGCTTAACTGACTGAGCCACCCAGGCGCCCCTCCCTTTTCTTTTTAATTGTAGTATAGTTAACATACAGTAGTATGTTAGTTTCAAGTGTACAACATAATGAATCAACGGTTACACATTGCAAACTGCTCACCACAATACAACATGTGTAGTGATAATCTGTCACCTATAAAATTTTTATAATATTATTGAGTATATCCCCTATGCTGTAATTTTCATCCTTGTGACTTATTTATTTTATAACTGGAAGTTTGTACCTCTCAGTCCCTTTCACCTTTTTGACCCATTCCTCCACCACCTCTTCTTTTTGGCTACCATAGTTTGTTCTCTGTATTTATGAGCCTGTTTCTGTATATTTGTTTTGTTTTTTGGACTCCACATATAAGTGAAATCATATGGTATTCATCTTTCTCTGATTTATTTCACTTAGCATAATACCCTCTAGGTCAATCCATATTGTTGCAAATGACAAGATCTATTTCTTTTGTGTGTGTATATACACACACAAAAGAAATATATATATATTCCTTATCCATATATATATCCATGTGTATATATATATATATTCCTTATCCATTCATATGTCAGTAAACTCTTAAGTTGCTTCTTTATCTTGACTATTGTAGATGATGCTGCAATAAACATAGGGGTGCACATATCTTTTCAAATTAGTGTTTTCATTTTCTTCGAGTCAATATCCAGTAGTGGAATTACTGAATCATATGGTATTTCCATTTTTAATTTTTTGAGGCACCTCTATACTGTTTTCCACAGTGCTTGCATTTCCACCAACAGTACATGAGGATTCTCTTTTCACCACATCCTCACCAACACTTTACTATTTCTTTTTGCTACTAGCCATTTTGACAGATGTGAAGTGATATCTCATTGTGATTTTGATTTGCATTTCCACAATGATTAGTGATATTAAACAGTTTTTCATGTGTCTCTTGGCCATCTGTATGCCTTCTTTGGCAAACTGTCAAACAACTTAGATAAACCAAATCCTCCCTTACTACTTTCCTCACCTAATCTGTGTAACCAGAGGCAACTCATGAGCGTTCTATAAATTCTACCATACTATTTGTATTGTTCTAGGAATTACTTATTTTAAACTTATCACTATGTTTTGAACATTTTTAATAATAGTACATTTAGAGTTACCTCATTCTTTTTAGTGCTATAGAGTATTTTGTCATATGGATGTACTTAGTACTCTATTTAGCCATCCCTTAATAATGGATATTTACTTTTTTATTACAAAGAACACTACAATGATGGGGCCCCTGGGTGGCTCAGTCGGTTAAGCATCCAACTCTTGATTTCAGCTCAGGTCATGATCTCGGGGTCCTGGGATCAAGCCCCACATCAGACTCCATGCTGAGTGTGGAGTCTCCTTGAGATTCTCTCTCCCCATCTCCCTCTGCCCCTGCCCCCGCTCATGCACTAAATAAATAAATAAATAAATAAATAAATAAATAAATAAAATCTTAAAAAAAAGAGCACTGCAATGAATATCATACATGTCTTTTTATTCAGATCCATTTATTCAGTCTGTCATTCTGTCACCCATCAAATATTCACTCATTGCCTACTATGAATCACAAACTGTTCTAGGACCTGGAGCTACATTGGAGAACACAATTAAAAGCAATTTTTTTATCTCATGTGATTTACATCCTAAGTGGGGAAGATAGGGGTGCCTGAGTGGCTCAGTTGGTTAAGCATCTGCCTTCAGCTCAGGTTATGATTCCAGGGTCCTGGGATCAAGCCCTGCATCGGGCTCTTTGTTCAGCGGGGAGCCTACTTCTCCCTCTCTCTCTGCCTGCCACTCCCCCTGTTTGCGCTCTCTCTCTCTCAATAAATAAATAAAATCTTTTAAAAAAACAATTTACATTTCCACCAAAAAGTATGAGAGACATTTATTCTAAAATGTTATATTATCAATCTTTTAAATTTCTACCAATGTCTTAAACAGTGAGATCTCAATTTTCTCCTAAATGCTAGTGAGATTGAACCTCTCTTCCTGTGATTGTTGACCAGTTGTATTCCTTTTGGGATTTCCTAATTCTACCTTTATTTTTCTAATTTTTAATCTTTCTTGAACTGATACATAGAACCCGTACATTTTTTTAAGTAAAATGATCCAAGATATGGACAGGCACATTTGAATAACAGATGCTTTATAAGGCAAGGAGTGGGGGAAGGAAAGGAATAAAGGAAAGAAAAGAATGTTAAGTGACTGGACCCTCAAAGGAGTTGAATCTTAAGATTTATGTTTTCTTTCCATTTCAAGTTTTTTTGATGGATGTGCTTTACCCTTAGGATTCCATGGAGTAAATAATATAAAAGCTTAAAACTAGTGTAAACAATACAGTGATGATTATCTTCTACACACACCTCTGCATCTATGTTTTGATTTTTCACATCAGAGGGATGAACAGGTCCTTCAGTTGTGTCTCGGAGGATGATGTGTTTGCAACTGTGTTACCAAGTTTGGGGTGTGTGTGTGTGTGTGTGAGAGAGACAGAGAGAGAGAGAGAGAGAGAGAGAGAGAGAAATCAATAGCAATAAAGCATAGGGTCTTTACATAGAGTCTGTGTAAGAGTAGCGGAAAGTGGTTTTGAAAACCAGATGAAAATGCAGTCCTTCAATCTTGTTCCAACTGTGAGTTCTTTCACATCATTCTAGAATGCCTAGGACAAAGCTATCTTAGTTGCCCTAGTCACTTGTCTTGGTGTCAGACTATCTTCAGTGATGATAAAAATGGATCTTAGGTGGATTTTGCTTGGCCAGATTGTCCAACCTGGTGATGGAAGAGTGCAAGGCCAGGTGTCAGGTGATCTGGTACCAGCTCTGCCAATATCTAACAACATGACTTGCTTCAAGTCACTTCACCTCTGTAAGTCATATTAGTAAAATCAAAATGGAGGATCAGGGCTCCATTAGGCATTTGGGGTCTGTCATTTACAATGGAACAGTGATTCTACCTCATATGAACCGCAAGTCCTTGCGTAAATCACTTAACCTCTATAAACCCGATTTATGCTTTCAATTTGTAAAGGAGGCTAACAGCACTTGAAACCTGATGTGAGATTTAGCTTTAACGTACCGAAAGTATCTATCATTTTGAAGGCATTTAATAAACGATTGCTATGATTCCTATTAGATCTGTAAAATTCCTTCCAGGACTCACATCCTGTTATTTTTTATTTGTGAGAAAAATAAGGAAGAGTACAGGCAGGAGACATAAAGTGAAAAACATGATATTTGTGCATGATCCTACAATCCTAATCTATTTGCAAGATTGTGTTGATCCACATGTCTATTTTTTCACTGTTCCTTTATTTGGAGAACATTGCGCTTTTAGTAGATATTATTGTCTTCAGTGACGGGTAAGTTAAAGTGGAGACATCGAAATCATTAAAAACATTATCCAAATTTGCATAGTTCTTACTTGGGGCTATGGGCACGAAACACAGTTATCGATGCAGGAGTCATAGGACTGATCTCAGAACAGCATCCTGGTAGACATTTAAGACAAGACTCAACACAAGCCATGTGTTTTGTGAGGTGTTTTAGTGGCATCTAGAAGTTTCTATTTCTTCACAATTAAAATTTATAAACCCTGATTCAATTCAGAAAGGGCCTAAAAATGAATTTAGCATTTGGATATAACTTGAGGCAGCTATTTGATGGGATATAATTAATGATTATATTTTAAGAATATTATGGAGCTGAGAATCATCACATCACTCTTAAAGTAAAATATGTTTTTATTGGGATTTTATATTCAGAGTTTCCACCTGTCAGAAAATGTATCATTTTAGATCTGAAAAGAGACCCGAGGGATGATGACATTCAACTCTATCTGTCACTGTCCTGTTGAAAAAAACAGGCCCAGATGAGTCAGTAATTCCTTAGAAGTCTCAGGGCCAGATAGTGTTGGCAATAGAAACAAGTCAGTTACCTGCCAGGTGCTCTTACCATTCACTGTAAGGCATCTCAGAGGGCTGATGAAACCCTCCTTAATCACCCCCCCCATTTGCAATGTGACTTTATTTGCATTCCTGAAACTTCTACTTTGAATCCCAATATGTCATTTTTAAATTTTTATTTTATTTTACTTTATTTATTTTTCAGTTTTTATTTAAATTCCAGTTAGGTAACGCACAATGTAATGTTAGTTTCTGGTGTACAATTTAGTGACTCAACACTTCCATACATCACCCAGTACTCATCACAAGTGCATTCCTTCATCCCCATCCCCTATTTCACCCATCCCAGTGCCCACCTCCCCTCTGGTATACATTAGCATATTCCCTGAAGCTAAGAGTCTTAGTTGGTCTCTCTCTCTCTCTTTTTTTCCCCTTTGCTCATTTGTTTTGTTTCTTAAATTCCACATATGAGTAAAATCATATGGTATTTGTCTTTCTCTGACTGACTTGTTTCACTTAGCATTATACTGTCTAGCTCCATCCATGTCACTGCAAATGGCAGGCTTTCATTCTTTCTGATGGCTGAGTGATATTCACTGTGTGTGTGTGTGTGTGTGTGTGTCTCACATCTTTATCTATTCATCAGTCAATGGACACTTGGGCTATTTCCGTAATTTGGCTATTGTAGATAATGCTGCTTTAAACATCATTATACTATATAGAAACAGTACTATAAATCAGTTGATCCTCTTGCTGCAATAAAGTCCAGCAAAACCTTACCATCTCAAGCAAACCCACTATGCCGATTTACGCTCAAGAAATGGTTTGGCTGGGACACCTGAGTGGCTCAGTCAGTTAAGCATCTTCCTTTGGCTCAGGTCATGATCCCAGGGTCCTGGGATTGTGCCCTGCATTGGGCTCCTGGCTCAGCAGGGAGCCTGCTTCTTCCTCTGCCTGCTGCTCCCCCTGCTTGTGCTCTCTCTCTGTCACTCTGTCAAATAAATAAAATCTTTAAAAAAAAAAAAAAAAGAAAAGAAAAGAAATGGTTTGGCTTTTGAAGATGTGCTGGTCCTGTCACCTGAGACACTCAGATCCACACCTGTCCTCCAAGGAGCCCACCATGCTCTTGTATTCCTCTCCTTTTCTTCTTCCGCTTTTGGTGCCTGGTCCTTATATTTCAGCTTCTCCTTATTTCAGGGTGGTGAAAGTCGGCCCTAAGAAGAATACTTTTAAGAATAAAAAAATTATTTTAATAATTATTTAAAATTTTAAATATTTCAAATCATATTTCTATAATATTTTTTAAAATATTTTTTTAAATTTTTAAATATTTTTTTAAGTTTTTATTTAAATTCCAGTTAGTTAACTTACAGTGTAACGTTAGTTTCAGGTGTAAAAATATTTTTAAAAGAATAGATTTCTGGACTCAGTCAGAGTCAGGTCAGTTATTAATTAGTAGGTTCATTTTTGAATGAAAATGAAGAAGGCAAAAGGAAGCATACAGGGACAGCAACAACACTTTTACCCTCTTTGTTGGGTTTATTTTCCTTCAGATGATATTTTTCTTATTTTACTTTTCAAGGTTTTGAAATGTTTGAGATCTTTTCCAGACTATTTTTTCTTTGGCAGGTATACTTCCTGCCTCGTACAGTTTTGTGCAAGGAGAACCAGTGCTGAGTAGGAGGAAGGCAGGAACAGAGCCTTTTGTTTTTGTCTTGTTTTGATTTCTTTGATTCCTAGCATGTATATTATATATCACTATTTGTGTGTTGTTGTTGTTTTTTAAGAAAATCATGCTCTTTATGAGTGAACTCTTGGCTATAATTTAGGGACTCAGAATAAAATAAGAGATATATGGAAGGATTTAGGGGAATGTCAGTGTAGTATTTAGCATGCTTGATTCTGTATCTGTAAAAATAACAGAGTTATTCTCTCACTGCTACCACCATCTCCTATTTCCTTATCACTATTCTGCTGCTGCTTGCACTAATTGTACCAGGAGGATGGGTTCTTAGTGCTCGAATCGGGCATGTGCATGGCTTATAAATGTTGACTGTGATTAGACGAGATACATCTTAAATTGTGGAATCACGCATGTTAGAAGAGGAGAAAGTCTGAGTCTGCAGAGAGAATGCTCACGTCTATTTACTTTTATGTCCTCTCAGTTTTGGCAAGAGAACAGACCTGACTATGTCAACATCCAGCTGTACCTCAGTCAAACAGATGGGATACAGGTATGTGGTTGGAGGTTTTTATAAATTAAACAAGCCTCTTGATAATGGAAGATTTTCTGTTGGGGCTGTGTTGGAGGAAAATTTCTGCAGGTGGTTTGAAGAGAAGTTTCCCAGAGGAAGGTCTCTTTTGGAGTGTGTCCAGAAAACCCATGGCTTGTCCTGGAAGCCAACCGTGTTATGCCTTTCATTTGTCCTCCTCACCGGGAGCTGGTACAGACCTTTGAGTTCTCTCTCCTTTTCATTGTTGTCTCAAATTCTTTACCTCTAGAGATCGGACCAGAAACGAACAGTCTCATGATTGTGTTCGTCGAGGGGAGTTTTTATGTGGAAAGACAAGATAAGGTCATACGTAGTTAAGCTTATTTCTTCTCTCCACAGGAAACTAAAAATGTAGTAATAGCCACCACGCATTATTTATTTGCTGCGCGAGACACTGTTGTTAAGCATTTCATATTATATTGTGTGATTCCAACAGGTAGATGATAGTGCTATTCCCATGTTATAGATGAAGAAACTGATGTTTACAGATGACACTGAAGGCCACGTGGGTGTGTAAATCCGGGCACGGATGCTTCCACGAGTTTTATTTTAGTATTTTCCATTATACATTTTTTATAACACTTTGGATACAAAATACGAACGCTTGTCAGTTACTTCAAAACTAACCTAACCCTACTTTTTCTAGTCAGATTTCTACTCCACTTGGTATGTAAAAAAAATATTTCGTTTTACTATTCTCACGAAGCAAGTCAGTATCACTATTCCTCGCGGTACAGAAGTGATGAAGGTGCGGAGCGTACGTTGCATTGGTTCTCAGTTTGTCCGCCTGCGACTCAGACACTTTCCCCTCTCCTCTCCCCTCACTCGGGCCCTTAATTGCCGATCCAGGTCTCATCTTCTGTTCATCGCAAACACCAGCCCGTTAGAAGTTATTTGCTGATAGACCCAAGATTTGGAGCTCTTCTAGCTCAGGCTGTCTTGTCTAGGATCATTTCCCCAAATTTATGATGGCAATTTGTAGTATTTTACTCATATAATGAGCCAAATATGAAGACGGTATTTGCAGTGCCAGAACACTTCAATAAATCTATGTGCTGCCACCGTTTTGAGAGTAGGCAATTAAAATGCATTCTTTAACATTGCAGTTGTTAAAAACAAAGCAACCAACTGAAGTCTAGGAAAATCAGCCATTTGTAACAATGGCATTCAAGAAGATAATGGATTTTAAGGAAAAGAGGAAGGAAATGATGCTTCGAAATGACTGTACTTAATAGCTTGCCATTTGATACTTGTATTCTTGATATCACACCAATTTGGTAGGAAGCCACAGCACCAGTAGAAATGATATTAGAAAAATAGGTTGTTCGTCCAACTCTGTGTCATATAAAATATAGTGCTTTCTTTTTGGCAGAAGATAATTGGAGAAAAATATCAAGCACTGAATTCAAGACTTTTTATTGGACGTCCTCGGTGGAAACTTCTGTTTGATGAAATAGCAAAATGTAACAGAGGGTAAGTATTATTGCTCAGGAAATTTGCCATGTGGCTAATGATCAAATTAAAATATTCTCAAGTCATTACATGTAGTTTTTAAAGATGAATTAGGTAATGGGTTTACAAATTACAAAGTCGCTTAAACACTCAATTATCACTAGCAAAGGAGGAGGCAAGGCAGGGACCACCTCACAAATCTGAAACGCCAAATAATTAGAATTTGGCTTAGAAATAGTCTATTAAAGTATTTATGAACGAAACTCTCCTACCTACTTTCAAATTTGTGTAGACCCATGTAAAAAAATGGGTATTCATTCTGATATCATGTATCATGTGATCATTGGAAAAACTTCAAAATCTCATTGGCAAATAGGGGAGCTCTACCAGCAGTTCTAACAATGAATGCACTTAAAAATCAGATTTTTGAACTTTTCATGAAAATGAATAAATTTTTAAAAATGCTTAATTGTAATATGCCATCTCTAAAACAGGATTATTTCCAAACATAATTTTTTTTTTCTTGGAAGCTGTAATTCTCTGAAGAATCTTAGCATTAGGGAATATGTGTCTGTGATCTGAAGAGATGACTGTGGAAGGAGAGCATTTGCTTTAGGGCACAGACTAGCCAACCCCTTTGTCTCCTGTAAACTTGTAGTTCAGGGCAATGGCCTATAAGAATTCTAAAAGCAATTTGAAAACCGTATACCCACTCAGACATTTTAAATTTGGCATTGAAATAGTTTCATCAAAAGTTTAAATAGTTGCAAAGCTCTAATTTCTAACATATTGCATGTGTTGACATTTTAAAATTAGTGTAAATCTTTAAACATGTCTACCGGAATTGAAATACCAGTTTTTTGATACCAATCTCATATGTTGGGAAGACATACAAACAAGCTTTCATTAGCAGTTGGAAATTTTACATTATTTTTCTGCTTGAACTTCTATTTCTGTCCTTTTCAACCTGTAGAATTTATCAAAATTCAATGTGGTTTTTTTTACATTTGAACTAATCATATTTTTGTTGCTTAAGTAAACATATTTCTGCAGTAAGAATGTAGATAAATTGAAGATTTAAGTTTTTTAAATTTCCTTTGGCTCTGTGGCTCTTCTAGGTTGATTTATCATGATAATTATTAGTATATAGTTGGTCAATTCATAATTTAAAAACTACATTTTTATAAATATAAAAAGGATATTTATAAATGAATGGGGCAGCTTATTGAAGAGTTTTAAAAAAGCTTCAATTCATGAATTCATGGATGACTGTGATTTATTGAAAGACTCACTGATTCATCCTGGTCCTTGACTCCATCTTCAGAAATTTTGTTTTAGGAAGTATCACGTGGAGCCCCAGGAGCAAATTTTAAAAAGGAATATAGCCACCCATGAAAGTCAGGTTGTAGTTACGTTTGAAACCACTTCTGCATTTCCCTTCTCTTGATGAAATAGCTTTGGGGGTGCCTGGGTGGCTCAGTTGGTTAAGCGACTGCCTTCGGCTCAGGTCATGATCCTGGAGTCCCGGGATCGAGGCCCGCATCGGGCTCCCTGCTCGGCGGGGAGTCTGCTTCTCCCTCTCCCACTCCCCGTTTGTGTTCCCTCTCTCGCTGTGTCTTTCTCTGTCAAATAAATAAATAAAATCTTAAAAAAAAAAAAAAAAAAACATTTAAAAAAAAAAAGAAATAGCTTTGGATTGAAAAGGGAAACATTATTTTGGAAGCAGAGGTCCTTTGTAATAATTAGGGCCCTAGTGAAAGGTGAACTATAGAATTAAAAAAATGTCACCCCAATTTTGGTTATATTCTTCTCCCATCTTTCTCCAGTATCCTCCACCTTAGACATGATAATCTTGTCATACTTACCTGGGTCTCTCAATGTACCATAGACTCCTTTCTCTTTAATGACAGTCAGCTGACTTCTGACAAGCATTCTTTCATTAAATTGTATAGTGTACTAATGAAAACTTTGGAATTTTGTTGTTGTTGCTATTGTCTTTGCTCAATTCTGAAACCAAACTCTACATCAGTAGAGGATCGCTTATAAGAAATTAGATTGGGATTATTGATTTCTTTGGTTACTTCTTAAGAATTCTCATTTGTTAAACTGTTCATGACTTAGACTTTGTATGTTTATTTGGTTGGTTGTTCATTTTCTTCATACAGCAAAGCTGGTTTAAGAAGAACAAGTGTGCACCATCTACTGTTGACATTTTGTACAACACTTTCACTTTGTGTATTTGCTCTGGACGGGGCACTTAAAATGCATTATTTTTAAAAAATTTTTACGTGGCATGTTTAGGAAAAGAATGGATCAACATCTTAAGGGTTCACTAACTAGAAAAAAGATGCTATTTATACAGAAGTCCTTATTTTAGATGTAAAATTCTGGTTAACCTCAAGTACATAAATTACTGAAAGAATATATAGAGACACACATACATACTTATAAAAGTATATATTCATATATATGTGCATGTATACATATGCATATATATATTTAAAATCTATACACTGAAATTATGAACCTTAATTTTTAAACAAAGTTGAATGAATTTATAATATAGAATTCTTCAATGTATCTTTTTCAGATACACTCATATATTGTTCATGGATAATTTCCATGTAATTCTACCTCATAGTATTCTAGAATATGGATAACATGATCGTTGCTACCCTACTTATGGATATTTAGGTTACCTCCAGTCCTTTACTGTTACAAATAATGCTATGGTAATTCTCTTCGCACATACTTTCTCATGCTCTTGTGGGAATATTGCAGTAGGTTAGGATCCTTGAAATGGAATTGCTGGCTCAGAGAGTATGCACATTTAAATACTGTCCTATAAAAACCAAAAGGGTGAATCAATTTATACTCAATTTACTTTACACACATCTATGAGGTGGTTCCTTCCTTATGTGCCTTTTTTAAATTCAGAAAATGAATTATGTAATGGTATGATCAAGGAAGGTGAAGGAGCTTTTGAAGTCACCTGCTTTCATCATTTTTTTAAGATTTTTTTTTTAAAGATTTTATTTATTTATTTGAGAGAGAGAATGAGAGAGACAGAGAGCACATGAGAGGGGGGAGGGTCAGAGGGAGAAGCAGGCTCCCTGCCGAGCAGGGAGCCCGATGCGGGACTCGATCCCGGGACTCCAGGATCATGACCTGAGCCGAAGGCAGTCGCTTAACCAACTGAGCCACCCAGGCGCCCAACCTGCTTTCATCATTATTTTACAAGTGAAGAAGCTAGGACCCGAAAAGATAATGATTTATCTCAAGCTATGGTTAATGAGTCAGAATTCAGACATGAATCCTATGTTCTGACTGTAAAGTTCAATGTACTTAATTTACTACAAAGCATGGTCACAAGTAGAAAGAGTAGCAATTTGATGTTACCATGCCCCTCTTGGGGACAGTGAGATGTTGCAAGAAACCATCATGTTCACTATGCATATTGCAACAGAATGTTAACTCTAATATACTAGAAGTGTCAACAACTAATTTTTCAAAAACATAAAAGATATTCTAAATATTACTTTATAAGCCATTCAGTATTTAATAGGATGACAGGAAATCTTTTTTTTATTGTCTGAACCACAGTCCATTTTCCTATTATTTGTAATAAAAATATATATCATATCATAAATTAGTCAAATTTATGCATTATTCAAGAGAGAAATAAAGGAATAATTTTATGTGGCCTTTGGAGTAGAGAACTATTACTCTGGGATTGGGTGAAATGTCTGAGACCATATCTACATTCTCCTGCCTCATGGTGTTTTAAAAACAATACAAATTAAGAATACCCAGACTTGCTGTCTAACATTTGGTCTGTGTCCCTGGGTCAAGTCACTCAAACTTTCTGGGTCTGTATTACAAGGAGTGAATAAGCTGTCATTATTATGAGATCCCACATTTACAAATCTGCATGGAAAAACAAAGATTGGTATAATAGGAAAATATGCACAAATATATTGAACATTTATGGAACTAGTTCCCAACATCTGACTCCAAACAACATTCTCTGCTTTAGCATCTATCTCTACCCATATCAGCAAAGTTTTTGTAGATAAATCTGTGGATGATTGTTGGATTGCAGCAACCTAATGCAAATTTAGTACAAATGGATTGCAGAGACTAAGTATAGATCTTGAAAAAGTTAGAGGATCTCATTGTTAGTGAAAGTAACGTTGGGGAACTCCTCAAATTACACAGAAATCTAATTTGTTAAATTAGTTAACAAATGCAATACAAAATGTAAATATATATATATGATATATGGGTGCTTTAAAAATAATAATTTTGTTGTGGAACATTTAAGAGAAGCCTTTGGGAAGTCTGTAAAAATTGAAAAGCTAACTTTATAATTGCCTGTGAAGAAAGTAATGGTATCTTATTGTAGTGTAGTGTTGACAGAGAATGACTACAGACAAAATGACTCTGTGCTTTCTCATTTACATGAAAACCACATTACGTTTCTTGTTTGTCTTTGGTTTTTGGTGATATAAACTGAATGGTTCAGTTTTATTCAATTTAAGTAACCTAGCGTGTCTAGATCTGGTTTTAATAGTAATCTAAATTTTATTAAGTATAATTTATTTTCACACTTCTTTTTTATTTTCTTCTAATTAAGTTTTCTTTTGCTAGTTTCTTAAGGTAGAACCTTATATCATTGATCTCAGACCCTTGTTCTTTTCTAATAAAAGTGTTCAATACTATAAATTCCTCTCTCAACACTTTAGCTACATCACACAAATGTTGGTATGTTTTCATTTTTATGCACTTCAAAATACTTTTAAATTTTCCATGTGATTTCTTCTCTTTTGTTTAATTTCCAAACATGTGGGGATTCTACATATATATTTTTGGTTTTGATTTCTAGTTCACTTGGGTTCTGTTGAGAAAATATACTCTTTGTGATTTCAATCCTTTAAAATTTATTTGAGATCATTTTACTGCCCAGAATGTGGTCTGTCTTGATGAATGTTCCACACGCACTTGAAAAGAATTTGTATTCC